CTTACCCGCCATCTACATGAAAGAGAATAGCACACTATGCCCCCGCTTTAAAAAAGGCCCCTTTGAAGAGAGAAGAAGGTCCTTTTTGAAGAGATTTCCTTTGGATTTGAATTTTAGATCAAATCTTTTCTCTTTAATCCATTGTAGGTGCTGTTCAAACACCTTGACACTTTCCCTGTGAATATCAAGGACTTTTCGGAAGAGGCGCTCAAGTCACAAGTGCATGTGGTGAATTAAAGAAATGTTTGATTCTAAGAACTCCCGAGTTCAGCTGTTAAATTTGCGCCGGCGCCCTTATCCTGTCTGCGGTTTGATCCCTCCCCCCAACCCCGTCAGTCTGAGGTCATTCTAGTGAATGCTGTGCGCGTTAGAAGCTTCTTTGAGATTATGGTGTGAACTCGTCTTAAAGACAGTCTGTAGGACTCTTTGGTCTCTGCTCAGATCATCCGTCTGGATCCACTTTCAGAGAGTGATAAAAGGTGTCGGTGAATGGCTTCTATAAGTAGTCTGATGAATGGACTGGAGATTGTTTTTTGCGTGTCTTAGAGAGTAATTGCGCATAGAGACAGGTGTGGTTGCCATGGTTTTCAGTGTTGTTCATAGCTGTATCATTACCTCTCTTTGTGTTTTACACAAAGCTCACGTCTCCTTTTCAAGCTACACTTGTAGTGTTATTAGTTTGTGCAGGGTGTGCAGTAGTATTTGTGCACTATATGGCCAAAAGTATGTGGACACCTCTCCTAATTATTGAGTTCAGGTGGTTCTCCATAGATAAACTTTGGCAGTAGAATGGGTCGTACTGAAGAGCCCAGTGACTTTAAACATGTTGTAGGATGCCACCTTTGCAGTCAGTTTGTGAAATTTATATGGTCTGCCCTGGTCAACCGTAAGTGCTATCATTGAGAAATGGAAGTAAGTCACAGAGCAGGGTCGCCAAGTGCTGAAACACTTAAAAATTGCCTATCCTTTGTTGAATCCCTCAATATCAGCATAATAACTATGCGTTGGGAGCTTTTTGAAATGGATTTCCATGGATAAACAGCTGCTTACAAGCTGTGAATGCCAATCACCACTGGACTCCAGAGCTATATATATATGTGATGGTCAGGTGCCTCCATGCTTTAAATTCTTAACTTTGAATAGAAGTTAAGGGAACAAGTTTTTTTTTTCCAGGAAGTTCTGTTGGTCCATTCGTCATGAAATTGGTGTGATTAAATGATTAAGACGTAAACAGAGTCATTCAGAGTGGTCTGATGTGAAATGTTCCATTCTAGACAAACTTGCTGAGTCAAAATTGTTCACAGTGGTGGTGATAAGAACCAGACGCCTGAAGGGTTTAACACCTCTAAAGGCTTCCTTCATTACAAATACAATGGCTGATGCCTGAGACAATGAGTGCATCTTATGCACTCAATAATCCGATCATAATCAGATTTCTGCAATTGTCTGATTATTTAAAAGGTCATGTAAACAGCATACTCTGATTTCTTAGATCAGATTAGGGTCTAGAAATAAAGAGAGCTGGATTTTAGCTCTGTAATCAGATTTCTCAGTGCATGTAAACTCTTACTCAGATTTCTTTCGAATTTCTCAGTCTGCGCATGCGCAAAAACAGACCGTGGTACCGGAAATAAGCAAGCATAATTTGCTGCAAGATGGCAGCAAAACACTTTTGGAGTGATGCTGTAACCAACTACATGGTTGACGAGATGAAGGTTTTAAATATTCTTTATTTTCAGATAAATTGATTCAATGTTTGAAAAGTTGGAAGTTTTATGTTATGTTTATGTCACGTCTTTTTCTGTAAGCTTATTGGCTGGTTGCAAAGCAGAAATCCGATTACTGCCTGACTCATGTAGACCTGGAGTTTCCCTATTATCTGATTACTCAAGTGCATGTAAATACGTTAATGGGATTACTGACAAAACCTGATTTCTGCAGTTGTCGTATTTTTAAGTGCATGTAAACGCGTTCATTGTTTAATCATAGTTTTGAAAAAAGTTTTTTTACATATTTTTAAAAATAATGCAGGGTGGAGAGGTACATGCAGGGCGTTTTAGGGCAAAATAGTTTCCAAAGGATTTTTTTTTCCAGTTTACCACTATCATCAACATAATATATAAAAAATCAGAAGACATATGTAGGTTCACTGGTCATACTGAATACCAAAAGAAAAGTACAGAAAATCTGATTCTGTAAGTTTTAGTAGTTTCTCTACAATGAACTGTTTTGCATCAAAGCTCTCTGAATGAATCCTTATGACTAAAATATGCAAAAATTGTGAAATTCCTTTTTAACCTCAGTAACCAAATAGAGATAGTTTTGCCCTTTCAGTCTAGAAAATGAAACATTTTGCTGGTATTTTATCCCTGTTTTAATCTGGCTTTTATACACAGTCTTGACTTTTTTCCTAAAATTGTATGAAAACAAGCTCCCATGTGTGTACAGTAGAGCAGTGGGCAGTAGGGATGGTCCAGTCAGTGGTCACTGCTTAGATTAATGGTGCAAGCTGAGAGGCAGCCCAGCCCAGCAGCCCCTTGATTTATTCACCACTTACCACTGATGAAGCTTCAAACAGCACACGCACTCATGTTGGCAGTGCATTTTTCTTTATCAGGGCCTGTATGTGTTCACATGGGTCTGCAAGCCCACATTTCTGTGTGTGGGCAGTGGTCAACCAGGGGTTTTATCTCTGCAAACGTGTGTGTTTTCTGTAAAGTTAAAGGGGTTTGCTCTGGTGCGAGTGTAGTGTGAGTGTGGTAATGAGCATGATCACACTGCCAGTGTGGGACTGTTCTTAATGCAGCTGTTTACACTGCCCTATAACAAAGATATTCATGATTACGGAATGGAATTGATGCTGTTCGCAAGGGTTCGATGTGCTTTCAGACTGCAGCTATTATTCATAAGCTGTCAATTTAGGAAATTTATCCAGCTAACACTTGCTGCATTGAGACTCATTGTAAGTAGGAGAATGCAGTGGAGTGCATCGCCCCTGTGTGAAGGTGAATATGACCTCGTTAGAGGAGGGCAGAGGTGCTCTGGTGCAGCATGCACAAAAACCACAGAAACACGCACATGCACAAATGAACTGTTTTGTCAGAGCTGCTAAGGGTCTACTGCAGCTCTGTGGAGTGTCTGTATTAGAGCTATAATGAGTGCTATAATATAATGTAATATAAATAATAAAGCATAATATGTCTGTACAGTATATACAATACTGAATTTCAGTTTTAGCAGTACGTTCTTAGCAAAAAGGGTTCTTTATAGTCCAAAAAGCTCTAGAATGTATAACATTGTATAAATGTTGACAGTAGCTATAAAATGCAATTTCCACCTGTTAGATTTTCCACTGAATTTTCATCTTTGTAGGTGGTCAAGCAGGTTAACGTTTATAAATATGTTTTTTTATTGTGTTTAAACACTGCAAAAATGTCATGAAATGATCTTAAATCTAGTCAATATATCTAATATTTCCCATTTTGAGGTGGATGTGCACTGATTATAAGATTATCTAGTTTATTTTACTTGTTTTAGGTTATTTTATTAAGTAAAATTATTATTTTACTATAGTGGCAGATAATTTAGGTGGTTTCAAGCACATTTCTTAAAACAAGCAAAATAATCTGCCAATATAGTGAGATCGATTTACTTAATAAAATCATTTAAAACAAGTAAACATGTCTGGAAGTAACATTTAATATATAACATTTAATATAATCTAAATATTAAATTTATTATCCAGATTTGAGATAATTTTACTTGACAAGATGCAGTGAAGCTATTTTTACTTTGGCAGTTGTACAGAAGTTCTTGATATGAAGAAAGCTGCAGTTGTGCTGTCCGTTTAATCTTGGCACTGCCGTCTTTGTGGAGAGGTGTGAATTGTTTTCACAGCAGGGGGTTCTTACCCCCCCTTCACCCCTCATTGCTCACTAGCAGCTCAACACAGAGTCACAACAGCCAACAGTGTCCTAGTTAATCTGATAGTTAAAGGGTGAAAATGTTTTATTTGATTGTTTTAATTAAATAATCTAAATTAAATAATTTAATTAAATAAAGATTTTCAATTTAAACAAATAGATTTTCATTCCACCAGTGAAATGGCCAATAGAGGGCTTGTAGAAAGAGGTTAAAGAATCATATATGCCTTCAACAGGTTTTCCATCATGTGAAAAACAATTTAACCTTGCATTCAAATGTTACCTTGAGTGTTCACAGTTCTATATGTAACCAATGTGTTTACAAAAGAGCTTTTTTAGGGTTTATTGATAGATGTTTGTATATTTGATATCTGTATATTTGTATATTGATATTTGATATATTTGATATTCGAAGACTGGGATATCCAAGACTGGGTGCTTCAGATTGTATTGAATGAACTGTTCAAAATACATAGAAGCTAAATAAATAATTTCCATGTTGAAATTTGGTTTCTGGTTAATTAATATTTATAATACTATGTAAGATCACCTTCAATTAGAGATGGAACCAATTTAATACCAGGTAAATAGCTCATTCTTAAGCTTAGTAACTGATCTGCAAGGGCAGATACTGACGACTTTAGTATCATTATCAGTGCCAGAAATTGTAGTCTGCAGTCATTTCTACCTACAGCACTATACGGTGAATGGTTGTATGTCATTTTAAGAGAAGATAATAGAACAAAATAGTCCAATCAAAACAATCTGTCAGGTAAGAGGAAGGCAAGAGTTCAATAACATATTAATGCAAAAAAATCACTGTGATATTTTTGTAGAATATCATAATGCTGAATTTCATCACTATTGCCCAAAACTAATGTGTGTGCGTGTGTGTGAGTTTGCATGTGTGAGACTGTGTCTCGCAGCCCCAGCAGTTCTTTACACAGTGGTAACATACCATACTGTCTCTATTCACTGTGCCAGAATGAGTTCCACTCTACCATCCTAGAGTGATCTAACAGCCTAACCTCTCTCTCTCTATTTCTCTCTCCCCTCCTTCTCTTTGACATCCCCCAGAACCCAGACATAGTCTTGGTGCACTACCTGAATGTTCCGGCCATAGAGGACTGTGGGAAACCATGTGGGCCCATCCTGTGCTCCATCAACACAGACAAGAAGGAGTGGGCAAAGTGGACGAAGGAGGAGCTCATTGGGCAGCTCAAGCCAATGTGTGAGTAGCGTCTCATGCACAGCTACACTGATCATTACCCTCTTTTTAGCTAAGTCACTAGATTTAAAATAGAGGCTTGTAAAATCTGAAGATGTCTGGGGTCCCCTTTTTGCTTTTGGTCATTTTAGAGCTGCCTGTTCTTGTCAAACTGTGCATGACTGGGTGCTTTTTTTTTAGATGCAAAACACCTCATAGAGCTTGCAATCACACTCTCACTCACTCATGTTTATCAGGCTGAAAGGGCTGTTATTAGCATTCAAATAGCTTTTGAGTGCATAATTGAAAGGGAGAAAACGGGTCAGCAAGATCTCACAAATGCATATACATTTGTAGAGATAAATTGTGCGTATTTGTAGTAAAAGGCCTGAAACAACACTAAACACACTGTTCACATGTAATAGCAGTATGACAACAACATTTTATCAGAGTAACAATACTTCAGCTGGGTTGTGGGAAGACCACAGACAAAAAAAAGCACCAGCGGTGCTCTTTGTCCTTGTTACGAGTAAATGTTGTGGCCTGCAGCATGTCCTGCAGGTTTGGCTATGGTCTGCCTCCATAGTGTTTGCTAAGCAGCTGATGCTTCAGTTTCAGCTCGGAAAACGTGGTCGGAGCATTTAAGGAACAGAAAATGTGTGATATATGCCACCTCCGCCTTCTCTCACCTCAGTTAGCACTTGCATGCCTCAGCCTCGTGTAGAGCTACATGCTCACTTGTAGCAGGACAAGGAAGTAATCTGCAGAACTAGCCATACCAAAGCACGGAGCTTGACCTTGACCCCCTGGGCCTCTCAGCGGGTTCCTGCTCTGAGACATCCCGCTGATCCAGGGTCGGTGGGTGCCTCCCGTCTGGCCCTTTTCTCTTCCTCAGCATTGGCGAACATGTGCTAGCTTCCAGTCAGTCAGTCAGTGGAGGAGGGCAGTGATGTATTGATTGATGCGAACGTGTAGGAGGAAGTGTGTCTGACTCACCAGAAATCCTTCACACATACGCTTCGGAATACTGCTGGAGTCTGCTTATAGTAAATGCACAGAGTGTGCGCCGGGATATGCTTATGTTTTATAAAAAGTGGTCTGGGGTCGCGGGGACATGCTTCTAATGAGAGCGGAATACAAACAGCATCGTATGACCGTGTTTGCTCGGAGTCTTGTAAGGACATGTCTCAATAGCTGACGAGATGCGTGGATCGTTTGAAGCAGGACATTGCTGTCAATGTAATGAATATATGAATCCACCTCCTTGCTGTCAGCACTTTTCGGAGGCAGGGAAAGCAGCAGCTGCGCGAATGCAGACGAACCTGCCCCGCATCCTAATCGCCGCGATCCCCCCTAAGAGCTTTTGTGGCAATCGCTTAAGTGCTCCCCCCTCTCACATTGACGTCAGGACACGGCATAAAAGATTGTGTTCATTACACCTGATGCCTCATCTACATCTGAACCATTCACAGTAATGCATGAAGTCGTTAACTTTCCGAATTGCGTGGACAATGGCGAAGGGTGAGATGTCTTCCGTCGGCCGCACTACTCTGAGAGTCCAGTGACATGGCTACTAGCCTCCTTGCTCTCCCTCTCTGGCGTCAGATGACCAAACAAAACAGGCTCTCAATGTCTTGAAGAGCAACAGTACCACCTAGTGGCCATTCTGTTGAAGCACAGCCTCCTGTCAGCCTTAGATGAGCCAGGCAGATAAGTCGTATCCTATATTAGCCATGCATAATTCATACGTGCATTATACATCAGGCCTACAAACAGAACGTGTTCCCCTGAGTGACCCATATCTTACACAAACAGCTTGCATTCATCAGCAATACTAGGTAAGTGTTACACAGGAGGAATGGAATATGTATGCATCTCTATATTTCTCAGCGCGAGCGTGGAAGAATCTGCGAATCCTCTGAGGAAGCCTCCTGATGTGAGGAGAGATGATAGCATGAGAAATAGTTGCTTTTTTTTCCACATTATCCATGATTTTATGCTTTCGCATCAATACTAGAAATGCTAGAAAGTGCACAGGCTCGGCGCTTGCATCATACCTTTTGATACCGCAGTGATACATTGATGTTTCATTGCCGTAATAGTGTCTGGTATGTAGATCAGTCTTCAGATGCTTCAGTATAAATGAAGATAGCTGGGATCCTGATGCGCCTGGCTTAAGTTATGAAGCACTTGTAGTTCCAGCAATGGAATTTATGAATTTTTTACTATGCGTTCATAATTATCCAATTATCCCATAATTACTCTTCGCTGAATAAGCAATAAATTATTTGAACATTAATTTTTTTGGCTGCTTTTTAAGCTGCCGTCTTTTCAGCTCCGAAATGAGCACAAAAAAATGCTAAATGAGACCTAAGTTGAGACCAGGCCCTGGGGATGAGTGCTGCTGTCTGAGTAGGAGTGGCATGGAGGGGTCAGATGAGAGTTCAGGGCAGGCCAGCTCTGTCCGGTCACGCCACGGCAGAGGAGAGGAACAGGCCAGCATGACTCACTCCATCTAGCTAACATAATGAACAAACCCAGAAGCTAGTTATGCCTGGAGATTATCCCTGCTGCATGAGTGACCCATCCACCAGCACACAAGCTCACACACAACATGCACACCAACACCGAAATTTGTTGTCCTGTTTTATTTGGAAAGCCCCCTAATGATTATCCATAGATGTTCAAATTATTAAGAAAACGAATTAAGTTAAGCCTGCACTATACTTCAAAACAAAGCAACGTTTCAAAGCAAAACAACGTCTTTTTGGCTAAAACAATGCAGTGGTTTGAATTTCTGTATCAGAAGCATTGAAGTAAGTATCAGTTTTTGCTGAGAGACTAAAATAAAAGAAAAACTATTTTTCTGTATATTCTTTGACACTGCCCTGTAGCATATATGTTCACGTTATATGTAAGTTTGTTGGTAGACACCTATGTCTAGGTGTCTGAACATGACACGCTCACATAATTTCAAATGCAAAAGCATAAATTAGCCCTAAAGTGTTCCCCAAGTTCTACATTTCAACAAGTCATACTTTATGAAACTGCAGTGTAAGTTATAAATCAGGCGGAACAAGGACAAAATAAATGACCAGCCTGTCCCAAATGGCTGGCATCCTGGGCTTTTCAGATTCAACTGTTAAAGCCAGGGTGTCAAACTCAACCACGAAAAGGGCCATATTAAAAAATCCCAACTATTCCCTGGGCCAGTTGTGTTTTTATTTTATTTTTAATGAACATTTTGCTGTGACCTGAACTGGCCATTGTTTATTCAAAATATACCAAAACTGCAACAGCAAAACAGGGACTGAATACTTAAACCATTCAAAAATAATTTTAAATAAAAACAAACAGTTTTATATAAAACATTAGACTACATTAGCTACAGATAACTGTTAGATCTCTTTATATGTCTTTTAAACCTGCCTACTGACTTGAACTCGCTGCCTGGCATCGTTTCTTTTTGTGGTGTAACCACTGTCCTATAAATCGTTGCTGAGGGAGGGGGGTCAGAGTGCACATTACGCTGAAGTGCATGCTGGGGATTGTAGTGAAGCTCATTGTGAAACAGGCTAATATGAACAGAAAATTAAAATAATTTCATGGCCCAGATAGGATTGTGCCATGGACCTGACTTGGCCCACGGGCCTTGTGTTTAACACATGGGTGTTGAAGGGTTTTCTTTAGGAGGTTAAAGGGTTTTAAACAGTGATCCTTTGGGCAGAATCTGGATTAGATGTGTCAAAGGAGAATGAGGAGAATCATGCAAGGAAACAAATGGTCCACAGCCAGGCAAAACATATCCACATTCAAAAATGGTGTACAGAATATGATCTCAGTGTTCACTGTTTATCAGAATTTGTCTGAATAACCTACAACAGTCAAACAGCAATCTCCACTCGGCACATGAGGATGAAAACTGGACTACTGAGGAGTTGAAAAAAGGTTGCCTAGTTTGATGAATCCAGGTTCTTTCTGCATGCCAATGGAAGGACTGCATTTGGTGCTGTCCAGTGAGTGGAATCCATTGAGCCAATATAATTGGTATTGACAGTACAGGCCAGTGGCGGCAGTGTGATGGTGTGAGGTGATGATGTGTATTTTCCTCAAAAGGGAACTTTCAGGGCCTTCTAGACCCTTAGAGAAGGCCAACTGATTTCCGTGAAATAAAAAATACATGTTTGTAATTTTTAGTTTATTTTTATTTGATACAGTCATTGTGTATTTAAACTCTGTAGTATTGTAGCAACACTTCTAGTTTGGTTGGAAAAAAAAGTTCGATTCTTGAAATACCTGACACAAAATTAGAAACTCAGGACTTTTTTTCCTAAGTATCTTGGTAGATACAATTAAGCAAGCTTTCACATTGATTCACTTCAGGAGTTGAACATAAGACCTAACATGTCACATTACCGACATAATTGGGAATGTAGACCAATCACGATTCGATTTACAATGGGTGGGACTCATTTTGAGAGAAACAATATCACTGTAGGCCATCTGGAAGTCCTAGATGTACCACTGACTGAGAATGATAGTGGTAGTCTTTACTGAAAGAGTCACTGTAAAGAGGTACAATATATATTAATATGTCTGTTACAAGCATAAAACATGGAACATCTTCAAATGTATGTTTAATCTAGAGCGGCCAAAAAACGCTTATGAGAATCAGCGATAGCTTAGCGCTGACATAGTACCGTTGAGGCACTAGCAGAAAGTAGCGTTATTGCAGAGGTGTTTATTTTTCTCACTTGTTTTACAGAGTTTTGGCACTTATGGCCTGAAGTGAAGGCCTGGCTCTGATAGTCATGGCTGGTTGTCTAGACACACATTAGGAACGCTGACACTCACTGAAGAATGTCTGAATGGCATGGCATCTCTGAACATTGTTGCCGAGCAACTTAATGCCCTCGTGGCTAGAGTTTATCCCCACTACAGTGGACTCTTCCAGCATGACAGTGCATCAAGTGGCAAGGCACGTATTGTAATTGACTATGACAATGACTTTTCATTGCTTCTGA